TATTCTCTACCCAAATATCAACTTACAAGATTTCTGAATTGTAAAATTAAACCTATGTGTTTATTCTAGTCAAATTTCTTCACATCGTCCATGTAATTACCTTTTCAATTACTCTACTTATCTTTAACCATTTTAGTTCTCGATTCTCTCTGTAACTACTTACTTTTTCTTCTCTTTGAACCTTCCATCTTTCTTCTTTTCTATATCTAACACCAATAGACAGATTTGGAATGGATTAGGGGTGGAGAGACGGAGCAGTATAGGGGATGTTTAGGCGATTAATGATCATCTTTTGAGTTTTATTTATTGTGTGGATGAAGGGGGAGTGAGTGGAGACAAGAAGTCTATAGTATTCAATAAATTTAAAACACATGTCCACATTATAAAAGGATAAGTGGTAGAAGTTATCGGTTGACATGGTAGTGGGACCCAATAAAATCCAAGAGAATTAGTATGGATAACAGTGTCATGATAACATTTCAGTGTTATGGTAGCATTCCCAGTGTCGCGAGAGCACCTCAATGCTGCTACAGCATTCCAGTGTTGTAGGAAACATCAAGCATCGCAAAAGGAACACATCCTCATCATATTTGAAGTGACAAAATAGAACCTTTGCTAAGGACGGACAAAAGTGGCATTGCGAAAATTTGGAAGCAACCTTGACGTGACCTCCCCCCTCACTATAGCAACAAGGTACAAAACTAAGATTTCACAACTAACAAAATTGGTATCTTCAACCTACGGGACACCATTGCTCGACTGAACTAAAGGACTAGGAAGAGGGATCCCCATCTAAGAACATGACAACATAGCCCTCCTCAAGGGAGAACTGAGCAACGGGGCAGACGAGCACAGCATGACCCTCCCACGATTATGGTCCCACAGTGACTAGTCACGATCATTGACCTTGGGAGTCCACCTTTTCCCCTCCTCTAGGACTCATTAGATTTGCCTAATTATTGTTAGGACATGTGACTCGCGATGAGTAGTTGTCGATATCACTGTGATCAAGACAATTGCAGGTTGGCACGGGTGTTAGAGGATAGATTGACCTGCTTGGGTACTGTACTATAAATATATGCATTACTTGTCCACTGCGAAAGATTCATTATTATCTAGTTTGAGATAGATCCCCTAGTTGATGAGAGCATTTATTCTCTCTATTTGTCTTTTGTCTAAATGGTTAGTCCCTCTATTAATAGGTAACTCAAATTTATTTCATTCTATTCACTTATCATATTCACCTCTCTAAATACAATTAACATAGATAGTCGTCTCATCCTCTTTTAACCACCAATCTACAAACTCATTCTAACAAAAATCATAATGCCGTTTAACATACAACAATTACTTTCTGGAGTTTGGCTTGGCCACATCCCCCACCCCCTTATCAACCCAAAGAACACTTAGATTAACAAAATAAAACAAAAAGAAAGACTAGAATAAAAAAAAATAGAAAAAGAAAAAGAGAGGACATTCCCTTGAGAGCTCTTTTCGGAGATGGCCTGTCGGCTACCGTTGGGTTGTTAGCTTGAGACTTTTGACTAAGCTGCTACCATGACGAAAAAATCATAATTAGTAAATGATTTGTATAATAAGCTTTTTACAACTTATCAATTGAATTAAATGTAAATGGTTGAATTAATAGATTTCAGCCAAACAAAAAACAGTCCTTTGGGATGGGGAAAATCAAGTTGAAAGTCAACTCAGGCTTATCTCCAATTGTCGTGTCAATCTAATTTTTGCTTATTCCCTACAGAAAGCTTGTAGCCGCCATGTAGAATCCAAGTCTATGGAAAGTGGGGGATCAGATTTATGGTAGGTGATAGATATTATGATCTCCTTAATAACATTTTTTCTTTATCGTTACTACAACGTTACATCATTCACTATCTATGCATTAGACACTCATTCTACAAACAAGCACTCATAAAGGTATGTATAATACTAGACTGACAAAAATAGAGTTTAAATGATGTGTCGTTGTAGTAGTGATTTTTTTGACCTTATTTTTATTTATTTAATATTCAAGTGTTACTTGTCATTTTAACTGCTACATCATTTAGACTCTATTTTTTATTTTATTTTTTGACAACATAGCTTTCTAAGGATATATTGTAGGGTTCCCTGTTGTGAAGGAATATAGTATGGAAATGGATAGCAACAAGCACCATTTGTAAAAAAATAATGCTACTTGACCTAATGAATCACGGTTATTGGATTGACAGTACTGGAACCCAGTATTAGTTAAAATTTACTATTAATTTAATGATTATAATGCATTAGATTAATAAATTAGGTTTAAGTTACATTTTTTGTAAAAAAAAAAAAATGGTTATGTGATGGGACATAGTGATATAGTCTAATATGAGAATGGTTAGAAAAAATTATTCCTTCAATTTTGTGAGAAAATTCATCTTACACATCGGGAACTCTTCCTAAATAATAGAAGATGTATGCCCATATTAGGTGTAAAGAATAAGATTCTGAGTGTTTTTGTACATTAACGAAAACTTAAAATTAAAAAATAAACTCATTTAATATCTATATATATATTTTTTATTTTTAACTCATTTGTACAAAAAAAACTTGATAACCTAACCGTTTTTTCTTCTCTTAAAGCCCTAATGGGCGAGTAAACTCGATTATAATACATTATATCAATATTGTCATGTAATGTAGGGATAAAAAAAACTAAGTTTTGCCGAACCCTAAATTCTATAGAATGAACCGGGTTTAAGCAATTAACCGAGAGAGAGGGAAGGGGGGGGGGGGGGGGG